TTCAAGACTCGCATGCAACACTTGCAACACTTACCTGTCTCCATAGGTCGGCAGGGAGTGCGTGAGAAGGCGTAATCGGGTCTTCGAACCGCACCTGGCTGCCGGCTGGCGATACAAGAGGGGGCTGAGGGTGGCAAGGCTTTACAGGGTCACACACCGCCAGTCTGGCCCTCTTGGGACCCAGGAACAGAGGAATTTTCTCTTTCTTTAAAAATGTGCGTGCCGCTGGACTCAGAAACAGAAACAAATCAAAGATTCTCAACCCGGCCCTCCTCCGGGGGAGGGAGTGGTGCTGTCACCATCTCCCGAAGAGCTCGGTAGGTCAGGCCTGGGTGAAAGATGCTGCTGTGCCCTAGCAGGAGAGGAGGCGGCGGCAGGGGGATGCTCTCGGTGATGAGCAGGCGGAGGATCCGCCAGGGCAGGATGTGCCGGATCGCCTCCGTCTGCTTCTGGGCGGCGGAGAACTGTTGGGCAAAGTTCTCCACCGCATCACCAAAGAGCCCAACCTGGGATATGGGGGAGTACAGGAACCGAGACTTGTCGGTCTCCCTCATATCAGCCAGGTTGAGCCAGAGATGGCGCTCCTGGACCACTAGAGTGGACATCGCTCACGGTCTGGACTACCCTTGTGCATGTCCATGAGTGCTTTGGCCTGGTGGACCTGGAGCAACGCCATGGCATGCAGGGAGGAAGTGGCTTGTCCACAGGCTTTGTAAGCCTTGCCCGTGAGAATGGACGAGAACTTACAGGCCTTAGAGGGGAGACGTGGATCACCCTTCCAAGAGGTCGCGGTCGCCGGACACAGCTGCATCACGACAGGCCGCTACACTGGAGGGATAGGCTCATAACCCTTCGCCGTTCCTCCGTCAAGGGTAGTGAGGGGGGAGGAGGTACTAAGGTGGTTTCTGGCAGAAAAAGGTGCACTCCACAACCTTGTAACCTCCTCATGCACTTTGGGAAAGAATGGTACTGGGGTGGTGCGCTGAGAACCAGCACGGCCCGCCCCGAGAAACCAATCATCCAACCGAGATGGTTCGGGACACGGTGGAGGGTTCCACGCGAGCCCGACCGTCTCGGCGGCCCGTTTTTAGAATAGCTGACATTTCTGGTTCCGGCTCGGGCAACGCTACTCTCCCAGGAAGAGGTAGCACAGCCGAGTCGTCATCTCCAGAGTCCAGCTCCCCTTCCAATGCAGCGATCAACATCCTGTCCTCAGGAGGAGCCCTGAACGAAACGGCTGGTCGGTCCACTACAGAGAGACCAGCACGTTTAGTAGGGAGCTTCACCGGCTGCAGTGTGACAGAGGAGTGAGGGGCCCACGGGGACTGGTTACCGGGTGGGGAAGCCCTGACTGTGATCCTCAGATCACCCATCCCACACGGCGCAGTAGCTCTCTTCTGGGGTGGGCCAGAAGGGGCGCTAGAGCGGGGCATGGGAATGGGAACTCCACCTTTACGGGAAAGGCGAGTCTCGATCTCAACACCGAGATAGTCATGTTCCCGCAATGAGAACATGAACCATCCACAAAAGTTGCTTCAGCGTGCTGAATGCCCAAACACGTGATGGAACCATTGTGACCGTCAGCTGGGGAGTGGGGACAGGGAACGACCGTATCCAGAAACGCACGGGTGGAATGGCATCTTGAAAAAGACGCAGACACACCCGTGTTGCTCTTTCAGGAAATGGGACTCTCACCAGTGCCAAAGCACACAGGGGAATGACCGCGGCAACACTGACGGGATGATGCAGCCTGTACCAGTGAAGCACTCACTTCTTCGCCCTCTAACCAGCCGTCAAACAAACAAACACAAAGTGATTACTGTTATAACAGCAGCTGAGAGCTCAGAAGCTCGCAATCGCCGTTGCACTCGCGCTGTAGAACCACCAGCACCAAGAGAGCCTTCCAGAAGAGGCACTGACATACTCGCTCGTTGAAAGAATCAACGCTCTTCAGAGACATCGACATGAAGACCGATCTTTTCTGAAGGGAAAGACAAATAGTGCGTGCATCCCCTTCGGTATTTATACCTGCACTGCGGGGCGGAGCACAAGATGCAAATCTCGCATGCCAATGTGCATTGGCTTGTTTTATCAATACTCGAAGATGACAGGCTCCCTAAGCGTGATCCTAATCACGCTTAAGGGAGCCCAAGGGGAACTATTAGCAAAGTGCTGTTCACAGAAATAACATAAGTTCACCTAAATAGTAGTCAAGCCACTAAAAGTGGGTTTTAGAAAACATCTCAAACAACACACATTATTGAACGGAAGAATTAAGTTCTTTAATAAAAATACAAGCTTCACATTTCTGCTTTTAAATCCTCCTGCACACTTTCCCCATAGACCTCTACTGTTAATGCATTACTGTACTATTTGTGTTTGTTTGTTTTAAACTGAGGGGTGAGTTTAAATTGTGGTTATTGGCAACAAGACACAGATGCTGCCTGTACAGCTTAAGTTGTTTTTAAACCCTGAACATTTCTCAATGAAATCCAATGCAATTCAATGGATCGCAAAGAGAATGGATCCCTAAATTTAGCTGATGTCATTATAAATGCTGTTTACTAAGTGCAAGTGTATACATTGTACTGCATGTTTGATGTTGGTATTTTCAAGGTTATAATTATTATTGCTTAGTTATAGGATATTTCTAGATCCCATTATTAAATAACCTGGAATTTGCCTGTTGAAAAATATTTTGCTGTTACAGAGGCATTGTTTTTACCCCAATTAAAACCTACATCTAGATAACATTTCAGTGTTTGCGTTTAGTTCATATTTGTGGCTTCGAGGTAATCTATTATATGCTTCCCTAAACACATGCTACATTTACTGAAACTATATCATCATGGCTGCTGCTTTTAAAAACAATGCATTGATTTTGACATTGATGCAGAGGTTTCTGTGATGACAGACTCCATATTGTATCATCACTCATGTCATTTGATATTACATGTTCTGACACATATCAAGCTGTATGACATCAGTGACTCATATCTTACTGTATGATCCTTTGTGTTATGACATCAGTGTCACAACGCTGAATAAACTAGATGTGCCGTCTATTAAAACATGAGTTCAGCATTACGTAGATAATGTATATAGGTCATTGTCAGGAAACATTATCATTGTGTGTGTCCCCATGACTTACTACATGTATAATTAAGAGTAATAAGTTATAGTAATTAATTATTTTAGAGACTGAACTCTTAGTGTGCAATGGAAAAATAAATGCATTGCATTAAACAATGCATTAAAATGTAGTATTTAAAAAAAAAAAATCTCCCAAAAATATCAGCCAAATTGCATGTTCCATTCATCACTATTACATTTAAATGGCTTGTACTTGTCGAATAATAATAACAACAACAATAATACATATATCTGCAAGCAGTGATTAATAGGCCAAGCACACTCACTTCCAAAATGACTAATTCAAGACATTTGTAAATGATTTTAGGCAAGTGGTTGAAAAATCATATATAAATCACTTGTGATAAGATTTCATTGCTTATCACTTTTGACCAATAGGTGGCACTATCACCGTAACTGACGTGGTCTGGTCAGCGTGGGGTGACAATGACATACACAAAGTTTGGAGTCAATACAGCAAAGCCTTGCAGAGAAACAGCCTCAGATTCAGTTTGGCATCACGCCATCAAATTTGTTGATATGTTAAATGATAACAGTTTTGTCTATCAACACGAAATTCATACATTTTTGCCAGCATGGTCTGAAGATGATCTGAAGTGAATTTTGGTGAAAATCGGACCAACGCTCTAGGACAAGGGTTTCTAAACAGAAGGTGGCAAAACTGGATTTTATAACGATACAGCAAAGCATTCATAAATATAGCATTTTAAGACAAAAATCTCAATGGGCGATGCCCAAAACAACAGAAATAGGAAAATTGGGTATTATTCAACTCTGCACCAAATCTAAAGAGATCAGTGATTTTTGGCCAAACTGCTCAGAAATTATAGGCAAAAATAGCTATTTTTCATATCTCTTGACCAACAGGTGGCACTGAGCCGAACTGTGCAGGTCTCCTCAGGTTATGGTTGCCATAAACACCAAGTTTGGTCTGAACATGCTCAATTGTTGCGGAGATATAGTCTCATGCCCCTTTCGGCGTGCTCCTTGTCGAATCTGTTCGCGACTTCGCGCATTATTCGGGAACGGTTTGACTAATAATCTTGAATGCCATAATTTTTACCAGCATGGACTTAAGACCATTGGCGGCGCTAGAGGGATTGATGTAGAGACTCCAAAATTGGTGTGGTTAATGGTCAGACTCTCTTCTACCTGTGTGCCAAATTTCATAACTTTTTATTCAACCCTGTTCAGCTATGAAACTTTACGTCTTTACGTTAAAAAAAAAGGTAATTTTTGCTTGCAATCTTTAGTGTTTAGTAAGCAATTATGTTGACTGTGTCATGCTCAACAGTCAAGAAGTAATCAAAGCATATAGTCAACATTCTTGTGCTTTGATGGCTTCTTGACTGTTGAGCTGACATGGTGCAAGTATATTTTTTCTATCTTTTTTTTGCAATGATTTTGGCATTTTTTTAGTTTTTAAACATAACAAGGTTAAACATGTGAACACCAAAGGGTTTTGAAAGAGAACTGTCAGCGGTTAATCACACTTGGGGGGCAAGATCAGGTGACAAAATTAATTTAACAATATTAAACCTTTCAAATGAAATGACAAAAATAAATATATAAATAAAAAAATAATTGCACCACTTCATGAGAATGACTTGCATGTCAACTAGTATAACTGGGAGTTGTCTACATTCACATTGTATAGTAATTTGAAATAGCACATATTCACACACACACACAAAAAAACCTATGTTGAAAGAAATATACAGACATTTTTTAACGCTGCTGAGCACACAAGACTGTGTAGTTGACGGAGATATCCCTTGGGAACGAGAGAGGACGTACCAGTCGCTCTCTTCTCTGTATTTGGCTCCAATGTTGGCTTGCTTACATACCTCCTTTTCTACAAATTTTCTTGTTGGGTTTTCTGGCACATTCCTTGGATATTCTTTTGACTGTAAAATGAATAAAAGACTACAAAATAACAGAAGGCTCTGGAAGAAACGTTTGAGGAGAACATGCAACAACGTCACTCCCCCTCCCCACAAGAACAACAAAGAGAACCTGTCCAGAACGTTAGCTGGGGTGCTCTGTCTTTTGGGCAGAAAATATTCCACAAAAGGTGGAATTGATTTGCTGCACCCTGGAACACAGGAAGCCTAGTTTCACATGCACTGCTATATAAGACCCTTTACAAGCACAAGAGAAACTGACTGAACTCTTCCTCATAGCAATCCCTGCACCGCTGCATGAGAAATGCACGGATCTGTTGTACGATGCACCAAATGTGCTTTGAGAATGAGACCGAACAGATGCAGAGAACTGCTGTAAGTGTGCTCTACCACATTTAAGACTATTTTGGTTTTATGACTTGAGTTGTTTTTTAAGTTGTAGCTTTCAATTAGACAGTAGCTCTGTTCCAAAACATAGTGCACTCCTAGACAGCTCATGAAATAAATTTAAGTGAAATATGTATTATTTCCCCCAATACTTGTGCACATTTACATTTACATTACATTACATTTATGCATTTGGCAGATGCTTTTATCCAAAGCGACTTACATTGCATTTCAAGGTACACATTTACATTCTTATCAGTTCTTGCCTTATCAGTTCTTGCCAGTTATCTATCCCTTATTTATGTTAGTATTTTGTCATTAGCTTAGCAGCATGCTAATGTTACACTAACTCTTTCAAAATAAGCCCCTTGTGATGCTGCATTACAGTAAGGATCAGGGAGTGTAACAACCATTTTTACAAATGTCATCCACCCCACTTTTTGGGAGGTATTGCAATCCATATAGCTGTGAGCAGCAGTTATTGGGGTTCAAGCGCTTTAAGGCCTTTAAGCACATGTGTAAATGTTATTATGTTTTATTTCACAAGCCTGTAACCATTAGAGATCAGAGATGGAAAAGAAAATTTACAGCAAATACAAGCAATTTACTAAGGCCATACATGCTTTTTAAAGCTTTTTTTAACAGTTATAGCGCTACCTATGGTCCGATCTCCATAAAAGTTTCCTTGTTTAGAATCATTTCTTGCATGTGATATATGCATGAATATTTCTGCACTGGTTTGGTTCCGATCTGCCGAAAATCCTAGGACTAGTTTGCAAAAGTAGGTTTCAGAAAAAATTCAAGATGGCGGAACATTTTTCATTGGAGATATGTATTTATATAAACACACTTGTGGCTACAACAAACGGTCTAGGAGTTATGAGCACTTTTGCGTTTTTGTTCCCTATTGGCCGATTTGGGTGATATCGTGTCAGTCTCTTCCCAAATTGAGACCTACCATCTGGCCAAGTTTAAAGTCTCCAAGCCTTCTGGTTTGTTCTGCACGATCAGGTTTGTGGTGGAAGATTAATACAAATCCTTAAAATTACAATAGGGTTTCAGCGATTTGTACTTATAATAATAATAGTTAACAAATCTGTCATCTTGCAGCGGTGGATAAATAAACAATACTTAGTAATCCTACTATGGTTAGCACCAATTGAGAAAAACTGTACTGTGACATAGGCATCAATTGACCAATGCTAATTTAAAATGGGCACAGTGGTGTTTTTCAGTGCATGCCCACTTGATTTCAAACTGACACGGTCTTTCCATGCCCTCATAATGAACTTTCCGCATTCATATCAGTCAAACTCACTCTAAAATAGGCATCCTTAGAACACAGCTCGCTAGATTTTGGAACAGAGCTAGTGCTTTTGCTTTCAAATCTGTATGAGTTTGTAAGAAATGCTCTTTGTGCTGGGGTGACAACTTGATCAAAAAATGTGTTTAAAGATCTTAAGTTCCTCAAGAAAGGCTTTGAACATTAACAGAAGAAAGTGGGACAGTAAAGGGTCTTACATGGTTAGGACTGATGCCACAGGCCTCACTCACTCTAAAATAGGCATCCTTAGAACACAGCTCGCTAGGTTTTGGAACAGAGCTAGTGATTTTGCTTTCAAATCTGTATGAGTTTGTAAGAAATGCTCTTTGTGCTGGGGTGACAACTTGATCAAAAAATGTGTTTAAAGATCTTAAGTTCCTCAAGAAAGGCTTTGAACATTAACAGAAGAAAGTGGGACAGTAAAGGGTCTTACATGGTTAGGACTGATGCCACAGGCCTCTTGTGTTCCAGAACATTTTAGCAACTCTACAAAAGCCTTATTCTGGCATCAAGCAAGCTAATCTCAGATCGCTAATCCCCCAGAACAGTCAAGACAGTGAGGAGAGGGAGGTGCACCAAGATCATTACATCCAAACTTCATGTCAGATTAGAATCTGAGCTCTTACATTAAAAAAGATTACTGCTTTCTACTGGCTTTCTTTCTTTCTTTTTGGTTTGCTCTCTTGAACAACACAAAAGAGGAACCCATAACAGTGGCATGGAAGGGAAGAGTTGATGGAAAGACTTCATGGCAGATCAAGTCAAGATGAGGTACGGAAATGGTGTACACAGACACAGCATGCGCCAGACGACAACTCATGCTTCAAACACAACACAGGAAGTGACAGAATGAAATAGCGAGATTTTTTTCTTCGTTATACCCGACACACTCACCATCCTCCGTTGGAACATAGATGTTTAGATACAAACAATCCTCGTTTTGATCTTGTATGTAAGTGGCAACTATATCCAAGTTAAAGGTGAACCAGATTGGCATCATGATCTCCGGAACGGCGTTGTGAATGTTTTGCGGGCACACCGGCGCGAAATGAGTGGCGTTCTTGATCCCTGACCAAGACGAGGGCGGCTCAGGGGGTAGAAAGCGTTTCTCCCCCACCGGCGGGGCGGCGTACGGCACTCCCAGGTACTGGTCCACCGGTCCCAGGATCTCGCTGGGCAACGGAACCCGCGCGCCCCGTAATTTCCCGTACTGCGTGTTCACGGTGGGGTAGTAGCCTTGTCCCCAGACGAGCGTCATACACCAACAAAAAACCCATATCCATAGAGAAACGTTGCGAGCCCTGCCACCGCAGCAGTCCTGCTGGTGCAAAAGGAGCCGGTTTTTGCGCACCGCTAACCACATGGTCCCTTAAAAAGGCCGCTGCTGCTAGATGCCGACGTACGCTGAGAAACTCCTCCAGCACGTGTCTCCTGCCTTCAGACCCTCAAACACAGCCCGATTACTCCTGTCATTGAAGAAAAAATGCATAGACGAGCACTGTTCCCCTCCGGGCGAATCCTCATTCACTGTCCAGTATTCTCGTCAGGTCCTCTCTCCTGCGGGAGAAAAACAAGACAGGAAAACGTTAAATGGGACCATCTTTTTTTCTCTTGGTTTTTCTGTATGCGCATAGAACAGCACACATAAATATGTCAATGTCCCCAATGCATCCAAAAGCCTGCTACATGCAAATAAAAGCTCTGCTGCAGGTTGAGTTAAACATGTCTCACAACTCTTCAGAAACAGGGTTGACGGTCACTGGTTCTCAACTGGTGGATCACAACTAGCTATGTTCAGATGTGATTGTGAACGGTGGGGCAAAAACACTGCTAAATGCTAATAATAAAGTGCAACTGTATAATCCCCCATAGTTATGAAGGCAAAGTAGCAAATACTTCATGTCATGTCAAACTCTGTGTGCCCAATCAAACTCAAGGGGATTTTAGTTCATCAGTCACTTGGTTAACATTAGCCTGTAGCCAAATTAGACAGATGCTAACACACGGACAGAGGCTGCGTCTGTAAAACGCTTCCACTGCAAGAACGATTCAGAGGTATAGGAATGCAACAAGGTGATCGACTTTTGAAGCCATTATTGATGTCAAGTCAAAATGTATTTCTATAGCACATTTAAAAGCAACAGAGTTGCAGTATGTATCCTTCGCTGCCTTTGATATTGCACAATCCTGTGCGTTAATTTCAGTGACAGTTAAGCTAACAAATAAATATGGCGTCTGAAAGTTGCGACTGCATTGTGTAGAAATTATAGATTTTTTTTAACACCTTTTGATTTCATTTCTAGTGATACATTTTATACAAAACTAAGTAGACTATATCAAATGAGAAAAAAAGTCATAAACTATTCTAATAGAATTTAATTTTCTCTAAAGGTTTTTTTTTTTTTTACAAAAACGTAAACTGTTAAAGACAGACCTACCGTAATTTCCCAAGGCTGTTAATTGATAGTCTATGCGTTTGTTTAAGTCATTAATTTGCATTATTTCAACTTATTTTTGTAAAGAATGCTTATATTTTTATTCATTATACTTTTTATACTAATTGTATTTATTATAATTGTATTTTACTTATATTTGATTCATAATAGGCTACTAATATTGATTACATTATACTTATTTTTAATTGTTAATAAAAAAAAACACCTCTCATGATGTTTCTTATTTTTCATCTCTGATTTGCGACACCTAGCAGAATTACAAAAATACAGAAAATTTTGCAAACGCCCCTTTCACGTGTCTCTTCTTACTCAACGCAAACACAACTCGACAACTTTTACGGTGCTTGTAAAGGCATGTCTCAACAGGTAAACAGGCTAATTTCAATGAAAGGTCAAACATATTAGGAAGACTTTTAGCCGTGTTGCTATGTATCATGTGAGTTATAAACCCATCCAATGCATCTGCATTTTTTGACATTGACGTGCCACCCAGCATACCCAGATAAAGAAGTCAACGCTCACCACTGTGTTATTTTAATTACTAGAATGACCTTATTATTGTTAAGCTTATGCTGTTCATAGTATTTCAATGTTGGATTTTGAGGGCAGTCTTGTTTCTTTTGTACAGTAAGCTATTTTGGTCCCATGTGTGGTCATCCAGTATAAAATCTAGGTCCTGAAGCCAAACTAGTTGAGAGCCACTCAATCAGTAAATAAAACATACTGTATGCAGGTTTTCCATCAAGCCAAAATAGCAACCTCTCTTTCCAAATTTGACAGAAATGTATTAAAAGCTTTTTCAGGCATAGGTCCTCGTCCCCATCCCTGGAAAGCTAGTGTTTGTAAGTGCCTCGCAGGCGCCTGTGCTAACACTGTAAATGCTAATGATGAGGAGGGTGGTCCCCAGTGGAGAGAAACTCTTCTCTGCTCAGCTATTGATCAATTTTCAATTTTTAAAGCTTAAGACCCTCAGACCTCCATTCCTCGGAGGGCTTGGAATAATAACAAGGAGAAAAGCTGGAGTTTAGTAGCGGATATTGCCTTCCAAAATGACTCTGTAAATGATTTATAATGTATCTAGTGGAGCAGTATCCACCAGACAGAGGCAATATGAATCATCCTGGAGGTGCACTTATCACTCCACAGCTCCTATCCAAACTTGGGCTGATTTGCACAAAGCCTGGCAGGAAGTTCTTCATCCTCCACCTCATCATCCACACACACACACGCACACACACACACTTGCAGCTGCCTGTGGACGGTACAGCCGATCTCCAGAGAGTAGAGAGGAAATAGCCTGCGTAATCTTGCCATACTTTAAACATATTGTTTTTCTCAAAGTCATGACTTGTCCAATTCAGTTACTACTCGAGTGAGAAGTGATTTTCAACAATTGATTTGAGAACTAAACAGGATTGATATTTTTCCCTCCAGCAAGCTTGTTTAAAGGAATACCTCAACCCAACATCAATGAACCATTTTTGAACACTTACAGTAGATATGAAGAGTCAAGACACACTGTGCCTTGTTTATCTATGACGACTGGTGATGATACAAGGGACCTATGATTTCTGTGATGTGGAAAATGCGGACAGAATCACAGAATCCAGTCATAAAAATAGACGTCATAAATACTGTATAAAACGGAAGTGTATGTGGAAAAGAAAGCGTGTAAATATGAAGTCTGTGTTCAATGTATCTATCTATCTATCTATCTATCTATCTATCTATCTATCTATCTATCTATCTATCTATCTATCTATCTATCTATCTATCTATCTATCTATCTATCTATCTATCTATCTATATATTAAGCTGCTATGATCATTCACTCCTGATCGACTACAAAACCCTTCTCTCCATATTAAAGTTCACACATGTCTAAAACAAAACAACCTTTTGGTGCTCGATGTGGTGAAATCAGCTCCCGACACCGGAGGCCCTGTTCCACCTGGTATTTACATGCGTTATTGGTGATCCGAACACAAGTGGTCTGCCGAGACGCATTACCGTTTCCACCTGATATGAACACGCGTTTCAAAAGTGTCTCCCGAGACAACTCGGATTTCATTGAGACCATCCTCTCTTATTTCTTCACACTCCACATCACTTTTGTGGGAGCACCGAGTACATTCAAGGACGCACATATTGGATATTGAATACACAGGAATGGCATCATGGTTATGCTTCTGTATTTTGTAAGAGATCTAATTGTTTGTGTAGCTATTGGGAGTTTCACACCGGTCGGGTCACATGGTACCTGAGTCAGAGATGAATGACAATGCTAACAGATTTAACTGTTGTTTCCAGAAAGCAGATTTATCTTAAGGTCACATAAACCCCAAACTCTTGGTTGATTAACCCACACTTTTCTTTCTTGTGATTATCGGTTCCAAATACGCGGCTCGGAATATGTTCAGTCAATGTGCCATACTTCTTTCTTCTTCTTTTGTTTAATTGTGATTTATATTCTCAGTGCATATCGCCACCAACTGTGCCGCTGTGCAACCATTTTAAATCTTATCTTTAATCAGTTTTAATCAGTTCAACAATGTGTGAGATGAGGATAAAATAAAATAAGTTTGTTTTACATTAAAATAGTAAATATCTAGTTCAGTCATGATCGATCCTTTACATGCAGTCTACAAGCAATCACATCATTACCGCATGGCACAAGCTGATTGGCCTCTGCTGATCCTGCAGCCAATGAGATTGCTCGCTCAACATTTAAATAGTCTGGTTCAGTGTTTGCTGTAAACTTCTCCTGCAGAAGCTTTCAGAGTTCCTCTGAACCCCTCCACCTCCCCAGCTCCACCTGCCTAGATCTGCTGTATGTCTATTCATATCTTACATGCTCACAGCAGCGTGTCTGTGTATCTGTTAGCAGTAGCAGCTTCATACTAGTCTGCCAAGACCAAACACATTAACATTGCTGTATTTAATAACTTGCTAAAACTATTTTGGGAGTTGAAATATAACTATATAATATCTGTTGTGCAAAATATGTCATGCCCACTGGAGCCTCATCATAAAGACACACGTGTTGAATTACTCGGAAGTAAACTAACCCTGGAGTTGAGGTTATCCGCTTGTTTATTCATAAACTTAACCAGAGATGTCACATAACCTGCTTGATGGAATACCCCCCAGGTATTATAGACCTCTAGGACAACTAGTGAGCTAGCCAAAAATTACATTTCTTTAAAATGCAGGTTAACATGATTTGTATTTTATTGTATTTCAAGTCACTTTACTTCAGTGAGAAGACAACTTATGGTATGATGTACTGTAACACAGGTTATTGGAGAATAACGGATTATATGCATTGGTTATATTCATGGAGTTTCTGTTGGAGATTTCATTAGTATTCTTCTGCATTAAACTTTATGGCACACCTCACTTTGGAGACTTGTGAATCTCTGTCCCTGAAGTGTGAATTATGACTGTTATAGGAGTGTGCATTGGGACTCATTGTCAGCAGCCAGTGCACATAACGCTGCATAATACATGGCCACCATCTTAACACCTTCTGAAACAAAAGCGGAATATGCAGAGCTATAAAGACGTCATCAAATATTATCCTAAAACTACAGACAAATATAGCATAATATCACATTTAAAATCACGTTGGGCAAATATAGCATAATATCACATTTAAAATCACGTTGGGAACCATTTGAATTTGAATTAATTTCAATATTTTCCCCAAATCTGTTTTTTATCATTTACATTTTCTGGATTCCATTTTTTTCCCTTCATTTTAATTGTTTAATGGAACATTTTAAAAGTTAAAATAAATATATTTGTAATCAAAAATCAAGTCTAATCAATTAATCATTAATCATGAAACTTAAACAATTTATAAAAAAGTTTGACTTTTTTTGGGACCTATGAAATGTATTTATTGATTGATTGATTGATTGATTCCAATTCGCTGTCATTTCCCCAAAATTCTGTTTTCCGTTTTGATTTTCCTGGATTCCATTTTAATGGTATAGTTAAATTGTAATAATCAAAAAGCAAGTCTAATCAATTTAATTCTAAAAACTGTTTTTTTTTTTTTTTACAATAATAGGGCCTTTTTTTCAAAAATTCTGTGTT